GAAGAAGGATGCTGCTGACAGATTGTGGAAGGTGATAAAAATCACATATATGGTTCCTGAGGGTTTATATGGATTCTCCTAAAAGAGCATCAGCATTAAAGTGATTTGTGAAATGCTTTTGTAAAAACCCTGTCCTTGTTGAATGGTAGAGAGGAACTGTGTTGCCTTGATAGCTAATGACAAAGCATCTGGTACACTGTTGCTATGCTATGATGGAAATGCAGCAGCTCCAGTACTTAGTCTTAGTAAATACCTTGTTTTGACACCTACTGTATAATGGGATGACGCCCAACTTGGTTTTATTGGCTAAACCGAATTTGTTCTGCAGAGGTTAAAATGCTAAATGTGCATTGTCACAACTCCTGTCTGTTAAGAAAAACAGTAAATGAGGATGTTCATGTGTCTAAATCTGAGCTCAGCATGGTTTAGTCAATGTCCAGTTCATTTTATTTTCTCCTGTACATACATAACTAGAATCATCACCTTGCGGTTGTGTGCTTCTGCCAACCATTCAAGTTCACGGGAATGAGACGGTGAGGTCATAGTGACTACGATCTTTAACCTTTGACCTCAAAATATAATCAGATCATTCTTGAGTCCAAATGGACAGTTGTGCCAAATTGGGGAAAATCCCCTCAGGGCGTTGCTGAGATATCTCGTTCACAAGACCGGGACTGACAAACAACCTGACAACATAACACCTCTTGTCACAGCTATTGTTGGCGCGGAGGCATTAAAACAATTTGGGGAACACCAGCATTAGACACAAAGGAAAACTACTTTCTAAAGGGTCTGAACTCTCATTGATAACACAGATGTAATAATAATAGTAATAATAAAGTCAAATCTCATATTTAAATCTCAGAAAACTATGAAGAGTCATAAATTGGTAAAACAACATTATGTATGTTTTTGAGCTCCTAAAGATGGTCTCCAGGACATCAAACACAACATTAACACAACCAGATATATTACAGGAATAGATCTGCTGGAATATACAGAGATGCAAGTTTATGTTGACTGACAGGTTTTGATAATTTCACACAGCATCATCCAACCCTAGTAAACATAAATGATCCATTAATCAATGGTATTATTTACAGTAGTTGCAAGTCCTATGCTATTATATTGTTTTAATGCTATCATCATAAACCAGACACCAAACAAAAACAGAAGAAACTCCTTGTATCAGTCAAATTTAAAAAATAGCTTCAAGGTTCTTTCATAGCTGGCATCTAAATGCAGCTATCTGGCCAGGGGACAAGTTTGGATGCCTGATGAGCATATCAACACATGGGAGACAGTCGGTAAATATTTTTTGTGGATGGCCATCAGAAAGTCACTGTACACTGCTGGTATGTGATTCAACTTCAACAGACGGAAGGAAGCTGATCCAATTCCCTGCATCCTTCAGGACACAGACCTGTATTTCCGCTGCACTTTGATGAAACAGCAGCTAAGCTGTCTGCCTCCATTAACAGCTCCTCTGATTTCACACTGTGCTCTGACAACTCTATGTGCATGTGCGATCTCGTATGTGCCTCTGTGAGCGCATATAATACAGTAAATATGTTTGAGTTCATAAGCTTGTGATGTACAAATGAGTGACAAATGAAAGGAAAGACCTGAATGGTCTCTTCCAGGATGGTGATGCTCAGCTCCATAGGGCACGAGTGGTTTGATGAATATGAAGATGACTAGATCCCAACTGGGTTGAACAGGGAGATTTTGGAGCAACAGCGTCTCCACCACCATCATCAAAACATCAAATAGGGGAATATATTTTGGAAGAACAGTGCACGCAGCGGCCCGGGGCCCTCGGCTCCAAACAAAATTTTGTTGTACGTGTCACAATGTTACAATGACAATAAAAAAAAGCTGCTTCTTACAGAGTGCCATGGTGCGCTGAAGCTGCTCTGGTGACCCGACACATTACTGAGACACTTCATGTTGGCTTGTCCTTTGTCACCCCTCTCTGTGCTTGAGGATGCGTATGCTTATACTGATTTACAGCAAGGAGCTTGAAGTAAAGTAACCTTTGTCAGTTTGGGAACTTGTCATACCTCTTGAATCAGGGCCTGTCTGTGCTTGTCTATCACACCTTTCACTGCATTTCTAGGCTCACAGTCACAACATGTGTCACTTTCACATACAGTATATCATTATGTTCAGGTTAGGCAACAGGGAGATACCATCACTTGTCAGAAGTTAGTATGCCACAGGATTCCTGAAATGTTTTGATGCAGGTTGCTCCACCGCATGCTGTTACCACTCAATTATGCCATTATATTTAATTTTTTTTAATTTAGCCACCATTTACTGCTTAATGATATTACGCTGTAATTAGTCCATTTTCGTGCTTCTAGATTCTTGCAGACATCACACGTTTAACTGAAACAGGGTGTCTTTTCAGTTCCTTCGACTTGATTGAAACATCTTTTGTTAATTCTAGAGAAAATCTGTCATTAAACAACAACAAAGCCACAGAGAGAGAGG